GTCTGACAGTGAAGTGCTCTGTTAGGAAAGGATGGAACAATAAGATGTTTAATATACAACGTTCACACTGAATGTTGGTAAAGGGTCAAACTGAAAACTACATGTGTAGAAAAGTATTCAGATTCATCAAATTGTGTTAAACGTTTCTGCACAACTTTCCTTTTAATGTCCCAACAAGCATGGACCTGGGTGCACTTCAGACCCCTCCTCTGACATGCCTCCATTTAATCATGATTTAATCCTCAGATTCCACTACACTGCCTGACACCTGGACTGAACAAAGGTCAATGATGTGGGCTCTCTGCAGGTGGTCAGGTCCAGGTTCAGCTCAAAGACTCAGGTCAGCTGATTACCTGAACATACTGAATGAGCAGGTGATCCCATCAATGATTGTTTCTGCCCTGATGATACAGCCATATTCCAAGATGTCATGCCAGGATTCATGGGGCTCTTATTGTGAAAGAGTGGTTCAGGGAGTGAGACATCATTTTTACACATGGGTTGACTCCACAGAGTCCATGGAGAATCTTTGGGATGTGCTGGAGAAGGTCAGACTCTACCATCATCAATGCAAGATGTTGGTAAAAAAATAATGCAACACTGGATGGAAATAAACCTTGTGACATTGGAGAAGATTATTCAAACAACGCCACAGAGAACGTGTACAGTAATCAAAGCTGAAGGTCCAACAGAATATTAGTGTGTGACCTTTTATTTTTGGCCAGGCAGTGTATCTCCTGCATGCGTGGACTCTCTTCTAAACAACCACAAATAGTGTCTAGATGCAGGAAAATTAGAATTAAGAATCAAAAAGAAAAACTAAGTAGGTCCTCTGGATGGTTCTTCTTTAGTGAAACGTTCCGTCTCTCCTCCAAGAGACTTCTTCAGTCTGATTAGTTTCAGGTGAACTCAGCCTTATAAGCTCCGCCTCCACATGGTGGACAAATAGGTTGGTCACATGCAGAAGAAGATCATCAGCCAAACAACAGGTCATTARTGCCTTGATTGGCTCTATTGTTCATAGAGGGTCATGTGCCCCATCACCTGACTATCAATGGGGTCCTGATTCCCACCTTTTGCTCACAGGGGGCGGAGTCATACTTGCAATAACAGCGTTGTAGGAGGAGGACAACTGGACACCAAGGTCTCCACCTCTGTTTAATGGTGGATGGTTTTTCTTCACAAAAAAGCTTTGACGTTCCTAACCCTAACCTGCTGCAGCAGGAAGGCTTTCCCAGGAGCTCGGCATGGTGTGTCTCAGGGACTATGAAGATATGTGCAAAAAACAAACGCTGAAAAGCCACGTGACTGCACGTCGACTGTTCAGTTTCGGAGGGAGTATGCAGCAGCTTTAAGCCCCCTGTGAGCAAAAGGTGTGAATCAGGGCCCCAACGATAGTAGTGGTAGTTGACGCGATGATGTAGACATGCCACGCCCTTTTAGTATTTAAATGTTACGGTCATGAATTTGGAAAGATTCTGGTAAACTCAGTTCAGATGAAGCTCATGTTCAGGTGGAACTTTGTGTTTTCAGAGAGAAGCAGCAGAAGGTTCAGGACATCAGGAAGAATGTGAAGGACGCCATTGTGGTAAGTCACATGACTGACTTTGGCATGACATCATACATGAAGCCCTGTGATTGGTTCAGTGTTTTTGGTTCTATATGAAGCAGCTGCAACACTTTTGACACATAACTCAGTTCTGCTCAGTCTGGCAGGACTGATGTTTTCCCAGCAAGCACCAGCGTGACTTCACTTGGACCTGGTATTACTGCATCACTGCTTTAAACTTAGCATATCCAGATGAATGCAGCATTAACAGCAGATTGGCATCCAAGCATCCACTCAAAGAGAAAATGTGTGTGTACAAGTACATGTTTTTGTTACCTGGTGGGGACAATTTTTGATCATTTTATTTGTACACAAAGCATTGTGTACCTTATGATATTGTGACCCACTCTACTTTATGGGGGACAAAACCCTGGTCCCCAATGGGGGAAATACAGTTGATGGGTTAGGGATTAGGGTTAAGTATGTACTGGTAAGGGGTTAGGATTAGGCCATACAAATGTCCCCATGTCAATGCAAAGTCCCCATGAGAATAGAATAAAAATTGTGTGTGCATGTGTGTATCTATGTGTATTTCAGACCATTGTTTCAGCGATGGCCAGCCTGACCCCGCCCATTCCCTTGGGAAATCCTGGAAACCAATTCAGAGTGGAATACATCAAGAGCATTGCACCACTATTAGACTTTGAATACAATGAGGTAAAAGCACATATTTCAACACAGATCCACACTATACATAACTATCACAGGAGTATATATCACTACCATAACACTATACTTCACTATCATAACACCATACTTCACTATCACAATACTATACTTCACAATCACAACACTATACTTCACTATCATAACGCCATACTTCACTATCACAACACTATACTTCACTATCACAACACCACACTTCACTATCACAACACTATACTTCACTATCACAACACCATACTTCACTATCACAACACTATACTTCACTATCATAACACCGTACTTCACTATAATAACACTATACTTCACTATCACAACACCATACTTCACTATCACAACACTATACTTCACTATCATAACACCGTACTTCACTATAATAACACTATACTTCACTATCACAACACCATACTTCACTATCACAACACTATACTTCACTATCATAACGGCATACTTCACTGTAATAACACTATACTTCACTATCACAACACCATACTTCACTATCACAATACTATACTTCACTATCATAACACCATACTTCACTATCATAACACTATACTTCACTATCACAACACTATACTTCACTACCATGGGAGTATATAGCACTATCATAACACCATACTTCACTATCACAATACTATACTTCACAATCACAACATTATGCTTCACTATCATAACACTATACATCACTATCACAACACCATACTTCACTATCACAACACTATACTTCACTATCATAACACCGTACTTCACTATCACAACACTATACTTCACTATCATAACACCATCTTTCACTATCATAACACTATACTTCACTATCATAACACTATACTTCACTATCACAACACTATACTTCACTATCACAACACTATACTTCACTATCACAATACTATACTTCACTATCATAACACCATACTTCGCTATCACAATACTATACTTCACTATCACAACACCATACTTCGCTATCACAATACTATACTTCACTATCATAACACTATACTTCACTATCACAATACTATACTTCACTATCATAACACCATACTACACTATCACAATACTATACTTCACTATCATAACACTATACTTCACTATCACAACACTATACTTCACTATCACAACACTATACTTCACTATCACAACACCATACTTCGCTATCACAATACTATACTTCACTATCATAACACTATACTTCACTATCACAACACTATACTTCACTATCACAA